AAAGCAGAAGATTTGCCTCTCATAGAAAACTGCATCCTTAAAATGCCAATATGCAAGATAAAAGACTTCAAGTCAACTTTTCATATGCTGTCATGCAACTGTGCTACGGCACATTTGGGCAAGATTTTTAAATTGCTTTGTTTTGCTGTGTTTTTAATCATGTTAACAGTTGTATATGTCCTATAAGCAGTAGGCCTTATAAAACAGTAAAATATTATTAATAAATGCCTTTACTCTGGCTTAATATAAGTCAGTGAGGATTAGAACATATATGCTATGAATTTAAGACTGCACCATCTGAACGGAATGCAAGCAATGTGATAGTGGACCATTCATGAGCCCCTGTGATCGACCACAGACCTTAAAGGTTTTGGGGCATTTTTCCCAAACCAAATTTCTCTTCTTCTAAGTTATCATTGGTGCAAGGTGTGATGACTTTCAGGCATCAATTAATATAAATTGAAAGCAGGCAAAGTATTAATTAAACATGACACCCTGATTATTTAAACCTTCTATTAAACTTGATTATTCACAGAGAGTTGATAGCCTGCTCTTCAGCAATGACGGATGATATCAAGGTTTACTGACTTCCTTCAAGTCTAGCGTTTCCAACTATTCAGAACAGAAGGAATAAATGAAGTGAGAAGAACGCTGGAACGAGTCTGATAGACAGACTGACTAATCTCAGACCCCCAAGGTCAAAGTAAAGCAATTCATTTCTTGGCTTTCATGAACATGAGACATGATTTATCCATCTGAGAGCAGAATTACAAACATTATACATCTCAGTGATAGGTTCTTCACACCGTGTAACTTTTTGAACAGTGATCGATTGCACAGTTGCCACAAAATTAATGTCATAAAGCAAAACTCATTATATTTGCAAATAAAAACACTGATTTTTAAGAACAAATGTACACATTAGCAATTATTACCACTACATACTTCATTTGGGGGGAAAATAACATTTTAAAATTCATATATTCCTTGCGATTCTATCACCTTCATGGTCCAAACTTTGGACATATGTGCTCCTCAAAATACTATTCTTACTCTAATATTTATTGTTTGTGGAGCCAGTTAGCATGCTATAAATAATTATTCAATGAAATACTTTTACATTTCTATAAAACTTCAGTGATAATCACTGTGTTTTCAAATAAAAATGTTAAATACCTCGTAAAGGGTAACTACTCCCTTAGATCCAAAGCTACTCTTAGAGAAGAAAACACAAATTATAAGACAGACCATGGGAACATTTTTTAACATTACGAATGTAATCACAGAACAGGAATTTTGCCCAAATTTTTAGGATTAGTGCTTTACAAGCTTTAAAGAATAGATGAAACTTAAGAATAGAAAAAGCCACGAGCTAGTTATGTGGATTGCATTAATCTCCCAGTTTATCTCCCACTTGTTACGATATTAAGGAACTGTTCTGTAACAGTTCAGAATAGCAGTTCAGAAACTATTCCATAAAGTAATGTTAGCTAATTTGAAAGATTTCCACTGAAATTAAATTATATGTAAAGGGTAGCCAATTGTGATCATGAAACCTTATTGCACATCCTATATATTTTAACTCACACTGCTGTTTTCACTGATCTAAATTAATGATCCCTTTTTCTATCAGGTCACAATTTTAGGGAAATTTTATTGCCTAGGTGGAGAAGGACAGTAAAAAGGGTTGTATCTCCAGCTGATGATTCATTTCACCAGCTGCTGAATGCTGCCCATTACAACACACCTGGACACATGCACCCGTGACTGACGGGCAAACACATTTATCTCGGCACGTCACAAAAGAGATGGAATTATAATTATTCTCCCTTGTATCTAAAGGTATTTTGGAGCCGGACTCCCTACAAAATAATACAAATTACACATCTGGACGAGGTCCCCATAATTTTACCATCTATTCTCAATATTCGGTCATCAATATTTCCCAAACCATTCTCTGTGTTTAAGAAATAAGATTTAGTTTTACAAGACCTGGAAAAATTGTCAACATTTCAGGGAAATGCTATTTTTAAAATTAAGACATTGAATAAATTGCTCAAAACCCTGAATTTCTTTGGTTGATAAATACATAGTAAAAATTTAACCTTTACTTTCCATTAAGGGGATTTCTCGTATTCTGATTTTGAGAAAATAAATGTGTTGTCTGAGTTTTACACAGACTCCTCCATGCAAACATTGAATATCTGAGTACCTAGCATAAAAGAACCAAAAGGCATCAGAGGTTTCTTTCTTCAAGTTGTCTTGGCGGTTACTCATTATCTTGACCTAAAAATCTAGAGATTTGTACTCTCTCCTGAAAAGTTCCTAAGTTTAAGAGCTTAAAATATAATTTTAAAATTAAAAGTATTCTAGGAATATTTAATGAAATTTGCAGAATCATGATTTCCAGAAAATGACAATATTTCATCCACTGTAACCCGTGATAACAGTCTTATACAACAGGCTTCAATATGGTGTGAAAATGTTTTTGCATTTCTTTCAAAAACACTGAAGAAAGAGAATTGCTTAGGATACTGAAACCTAGGAAACACTCTGACGGGAGTAACATTTTACCTTGCTCCTAAAATAAGGATATGATAACAGTAGCAACAACCAATTATGTAGAGATTAAAAAGTAACAGTCACTAATCTACGTACTCACTAGCACCGCCCAATGAAGTAGGTGCTATTATTCTTCTCACTTTTTGAGATGAGGAAATTTCTTTGCAACAGCGGACAACAAACCCCGAATCAACACATCCCTGTTCTTTAGTATTTGTATATCTTGATCATGAACATTATCAATGTGTGAAACTAAGCCTCTTAAATTAAGAAGAAGAAAGAGGGAGAGAGAGAATCCTAAACTGGCATACCTCTCTGGCAGAATGCATCAGAAATTCAGATCAAGCTAATAATGGCATAGTTTGAATATGCTTAATATGCACAACAGTATAATTGTACATACTGAAAACAAAATCTATGCTTAAATTATTAAATAACATTAAATGAGAATATGAGCTATCTCCATGCCACTGGTGTACCATGTAATAACTGTTCCATTATAGGTCACGTCCACAGACCTACAGTTTGCCATTCTTTTCATAAGAAATATTCTCTGATATTGGATTTTAGTAATTGGTCTCTTTAAAATGTTTGTAGACTTAAAAAAGACAGTCATAGGGCTTCCCTGGTGGCGCAGTGGTTGAGAGTCCGCCTGCCGAGGCAGGGGACGCAGGTTCGTGCCCTGGTCCGGGAAGATCCCACATGCCGCGGAGCGGCTGGGCCCGTGAGCCATGGCCGCTGGGCCTGCGTGTCCGGAGGCTGTGCTCCGCAACGGGAGAGGCCACGACAGTGAGAGGCCCGAAAAAAGAGATAGTCATAAACCATAGTAATCTCTTTCACACAATGGAGACTCAAAAAATAGTTTACATAAAATCTAGTAAGAGGAGTCTTTCCTCCTCATTGCCACTTACACACTAATTATTTGCAAAAAATTAAAAGGCAGGGCAACCCATTTATCTCTGTAACCAGCGGATTTAGAGTCATAACATAGTTTACCACTTCAGAGCCATGCTAGAAAGAACTAGTTCCCGGTCAATGTATGTTCTCTACCACAATTCCAGGTATAAATACGAAAACATTGCTAGAAGTTTATCATATTTCTCAATAAAATAACCATTTCACATGTTTAAATTACATAGTGATTTGCATAATGGTTAAATCAGATAGTATGAAACACTATTTGAACCTCAATTACTGGTTTGCATATTCAAAATTCTGACAACTCTGGTACTTGGCCAGATCTAATCGGCTACCTATATACTCGTTGCCCGAATTTTAGTCTACCTTAATTTGAATTGTCAACCCTTAAGCATGTTCTCTGAAGTCCAGGCTACTTCATACTGACTCACCTTTGTACTTGTTTCCCTTTCTTGGAAGTTTGTCCCTTCCTCTCCCTTCTCTCACTCTCTCTCTCTCTCTCTCTCCGTCTCTCTCTCTCTCCGTCTCTCTCTCTCTCTCTCTCTCTCTCTCTCTCCTATAATTACCTAAGGAACACCTACTTATCATTTGAGTCTCTATATAAGCAACATCTCCCTAGATAAATATTTTCTCCTTTCGTCTCTGTCAAATGGGAAAATAATCTACTATGGTACCAATCACACCACGTTACTTATTTGTTTACACATTTGACTCAGTGACTAGACAATGGAATCTTGACTACGTCTTATTCATCATGTCAGATGGTGCACAATAGTTGGAACATGGTATAGATATTTCATAAAAGTCAGATGAATTAAATAACTCTAAAATTCTGTCTTTATCTTACACTGTACTACTTAAAATTTCCCTTTTCTGGCTGTAGATTATGTGATTTTCCTGTAAAAAGTCAAGTTTTTAGACAAATCATCAAAATAATTCAGTTTCCAAAGTTCTAAGTTAAAAATAGTTCATTCTGAAACATTATATAAATCATCATCAAATCACCTAATCATCAAAAGGATGATTTTTACCAATAACAAAAAGGAAAAGCAGTCATCCAGCTCCCCAAATTTACAAGTTCCTAGAATATTCTGCACTTATTTATAGGTTTTCATAACTACTTGTTCATTAATTACATTATTCCCTTTAATTGGATAGCTCTGAAAAAGCTCACATGAATTACTAGAAATAATCAACTTTCGGAGTTCACGTTTCACAGCACGTTTGTGAACATCCAAGAGTCCGTTTTAAGTTGTGTGTATGTTTTTATGAAATGAGTTACCTAAAATATAACTCTATTCTTTTATGCTTTCAGGTTACCAGACAATTTTATATTGGATGTAGAATAGACAATAAAGTTATTTACATCTAATTTATGATAAAATCAGGTAAGTTTTACTGCCCAAGAGAATGCTGATAGTGAGAAAGCTAATTAGCCCTCACTGAATTCCTTCTTTTTTAACCATACAACCTTACATTTCATTCCTTATAAATATTTCAGAGTAGTTATGGCTACTTACTTTTCAGGATTTTCCACTTCTTCAGTAACAAAGTTGAGATAAAACCTAAAAAGACATCCATGAATTATAAACCATTAATATATTTTATGATCATCACCCAAAGTTTGAAATTTTCAATATTTAAAATCAAACTCAGAATCATAAAAACTTTATAAACAAATAACCTAAGATGAATATCTCCAGCACCCAAAGCTCCCACAATTCATTTTTCTATTAAGCAGTATTTATGGAGCTCTTTTTTATTTCTTAACTTTTTCATAGAGGTATGTATAGCACACAAACAGTAAAGTGAACAAATCTTAGTATACAATGATACATTTTTACATATGTATACACCTATGTAACTGACAAAAGGATCGAAAGATACAACATTTCTAGCATCCTGGAAGGTCCCCTCAAGGCCCTTTGCAATCATTATCATCTCCCCCACCCTCCTGTAAAGGCAACCACTGTTCTGATTTCTACCACTGTAGATTAGCTTTGTTCGTTTCATTTCAATAGACTAATAATATTTGCTTGTATAACTATTATACAATATTTATTCTATTGTGTCTGGCTTTTTTGCTGGACTTTATGTCTGTGGGTCTCATCCATGTTGTTTGTAGTAATCCATCATTCTTTATTGTTGCTTTTCATTGTATGAATGTAACACTCTATACTCTACCACTGATGGATATTTGAATCATTTCCAATTTATAGCTATTATGAATATAGATACCATAAATATGCTTGTATATGTTCTTTTGGGGACCATGCAATCATTTCTCTTGGGCATATACTCAGAATAGGGTCACTGGGTCAGAGTAGATACATGTTTATAGTCAAACTATTTTCCACCATTTTTGCATTCCTACCAGCAATGTATGAGATTATCACATGTCAGGCACTGGGGAAATAAAAGTAGAAAATCTATCATCTTTCTTGTCAAGGAGCTCATAGTTCATAGAATGGTCCATAGAGTGGTGTGATACAGCACAGAAGGCAATGTTAGAGCATGCCCAGGTTACCATGGAAGCCAGGGGTGAGGTCTAAACCAGACTGGCAGGTCTTGGAAGGTTTCTGAGAGAAGGCATCACCCAAGCTGAGTCTTCCAAAATGCTTGAAGTTTAGCCCTGGTCAAGTGGCGTGAGGACATTCCAGGCACAGTACAGCACATGAGCACGGGGGTGTGGGAAAGCGCTACATGCACAGGGGTGTGAGCAACAGCGTAGTGCTCTGCAGCACAAAGCGTGCCCTGGGAGTGAGAACAGGATGTAGGTACAAGATGGCCTTTGGCTTCTGGGAATCCAGCTTTTAGTAGGCGTGATAAAAACTTGCAGGACAATAGAAGCATGATAATAGCATTTCTTAGTCTTAGGGGATTGGCTTCTGGATATGAGCACAGAAGGCACATAGGAAATAAAAATGGGATAAAGGATAATAAATTCTCAATATGCACTTTTTTTTTTTTTTTTTTTTTTTTTGCGGTACGCGGGCCTCACTGATGCGGCCTCTCGCCTTGCACAGCACAGGCTCCGGACGCGCAGGCTCAGCGGCCATGGCTCACGGGCCCAGCCGCTCCGCGGCATGTGGGATCCTTCCGGACCGGGGCACGAACCCGTGTCCCCTGCATCGGCAGGCGGACTCCCAACCACTGCACCACCAGGGAAGCCCACAATTTGCACTTTTTCCTTTCAGTTCACTGTTTTCCACCCAAATAACCTCAAGTCGTAAGGCAACTATGCCTTATGCATAATAGCAACGGTGAAGTTGCTTTGCGTGTGTGTGTGTGTGTGTGTGTGTGTGTGTGTGTGTACTTAGGCAGCTAATTTTAGGCCCACTGTTAGTCATTACACTGTAAGTTGATAACTAAAGGGCAGAACACTTTGAATATTTCCCCCAGATCCTGAACACTTTTGTCATCTCTTACATGACAAGAAGCATTGGAGGCACACAATATTTCACTTTCAAGTCCCATAGGATTACACATATTACCCTAAATTTATGGCCCTAGAGAAATTCAGATTCCTTTCCCTCACCTTATGACATTACTTATCCCATCCAGGCATGTCAACTGCCTTGCATCCTTGACTTCTTTTTCTAATCTAAAGTGACTTCTCGAGACCATTTAAAGCCCTTAAAGTTCTCTTTCAAGGTTCCAAGATGTAAAATGGAGGCAACTCCTCAAATAAGCACACAGAGATAACGGGATCATGAAGATGGGAGAACTAAGGGATCGTAACGAAGAGAACTAGACATACAAAGACCTTTCTACTTCTCCATTTCACAGGCTTAGAAACTTTCCGCAAAGTAAAAAAGTCATATTTCCATTGTATTCCTCTATACGCTTATTATTCCTTAGAAGATAAAATAGCTATTATATAGGTCCACAGAAGCATGGTTCTACAGGGACAAATTCTCTATCATCTAAAACCAAGAGGCTGGAATATTAGCCCATCAGCCTTTAATATAATTAAGGTATCTCACACCTTAAAGCAAAGATGAGAAAACCTGTCTTATTCCACCTTTATTCACAAATAGGCAGTTGATGTTCATGGTTGTAAAACAAAACAAAACACAAGACAACAGGCCCAAAATGGAGTCACTTATGCTAAGCCTCGTGTCACCAAACCAAACTGTAATTCACTTAAAGTTTCAGATCTCCCAGAAATGGAATCTGAAACCAGTCGATTAGGAATTGCATTATCTAAGCATTCTGCCTGACAGACCCCTGCCATCCCCTAAATAAAAATAACTTTGTAATAACCAAGCTGTTTTATGGCTTAGTATAACTTCCTTGTTCTCACTGCCTTCTGCCTATAAAAGCCTTCTCTTCTGTACAGCTCCCTGGAGCTCCTTTCTGTCTGCAAGACGGGATGCTGTCAATTCATATCGATTTTTGCTCAAACTCTTAACATTTTAATATGCCTCAGTTTATCTTTTAATAAAGTTCAGGTGTCTCATACTGTAAGGACCATGTTCTAAGTAGAAATATTTGAATACCTGAGAGAAAACAGTAGCACCAAAGGTGATCTAAAAAGTCAGCAGAGCAGCCAAGTATATTTTTTAATGACTAGAAAGTAAGTTTCTAAAATTAGAGGTTGTAGTTACACCAGGAATGCAGGCAACAATCAATACTTATATCTGGGATATGCACTCTGAGGGATCTGATGTGTTTGCTATAAGCCCAAGGCAGTGGGAAGTACAGGAAGAAAATGAACAAAACAAAAAACCTAAAAAAAAAACCACGCAAAAACCACACACACACTTAGAAATATTTCCAGGCTTCTCACTTCAAAAATAACCAGTTCCTTCTAAACAGTTGTTTTAGAACTGGTCTTTTTCCAACAATGTTAAGGCGAGAAAGGAAATATGAAAAAAGAACGCAATTGCAAATATTTTGCCATAGAGAAAAGGAAAGGGCTTGGGACAGGGCGGGAGGTGGGAAGGAGAAAGCTTCTTATTTTGGTCCAAACATTCACTCCTGTGGGAAATACACCTTTACGCTCTCTAAGGCTCCAGCCATGCGTCCATAGCCCATCTCCTCAAGTTCTCTAGAGAATGTTCATAAGATCCATTGTTCCAGCTTTTCCGTGATCGTGTATAAAAGGCACTGCAAAGCTGGCAATGCATTCTGATACCCAACCATGTGAATTATTTTGAAACGAAGCTTATTCTTTAGATTCGATTTGACACAACGCTACAAAATAATCCCAGCGGGTGCTTTAGAAAGACTAAATCCACTGAGGATAGGATTTAAAAGGGAGAAAAAAGACAGACCAAAAAACTATTTTCTATCACACAATTCAAAAAAAAAAAAAAAAATCCCACCAAGCAATAGTTAGCTTTGGATCAGGATATGGGACTGAAATTGATTGAGTTCCCCCGGGCCACCAGGGAGACTGGAGGACATATTTCTCTGAATGCAGACGTTGGCAATCATACAAAAGTTGTTCTGACCCAACTCTGTGGCCTGGCTGGGTTAATGATTTCTTTCCCCCTAATCATGTTTCCGTGAAGGAGTTTTCATCATTCTACAAAGGTCCAGCACTCCTCGTAAACCAACAGCCTGCTCTATTCAGGTCCGAGGTCTGGCTGCGTCTTGCTCCTATTCAACGCATAGGGGGTGACTTACTAATGGAGCAGGGCCTCCCAGACAACAGGGGTCTTGCTGCGTTCACTTACACCCTGGGTGGTTAACTTCTGAGGACGACAGCTGCTTCTGTCTCCTTATTTGCAATGCGCCCTACACCCTCTTTTTTTTTTCTTTTTTTGCATCAAAGATTGTCAGGGCAGCAGCACAGGGAGTGGAGGCTCATTTCTGGCGCCCAATTTACAAGTCCACAACCCAGTCTTGTAATTCCATCGTGAAAGACAAAAAAAGGTCAGAGAGGCAGGATCACACTTGGAAAGTGCCTGAACACCCCCCGCTTTGGGAACTCTTTTAGTCTCCATCTCGTTGCGTTTATATCCAGATATTAACTTTTTCCTCTGGCACTCCAAACCAACAGACTAGTTCTTCTACCCACAGCTCCCTTTTTCTAAGACGGGTGGCCACAGATTAACAAGCAGATGATTTCTACCTATCCACAAAGCAGCATGCAGGTAGCAGAACAGCCTGTTGGAGACATACGGTTACTTATCTGCCCCCTTACGTTAACCATTGGTAACGCGTAACAGTCCATTGAAAATCCCGGCCTTAATTTCCTACACTATGATTGAACCCTCTAGAATACAAGAAAACCAACAGTTTCCTGTTCTTTAACCCAGGATGTGGACATGAGGATTCGACGGGTAAAAGTATGACCAAAGGTTCATGTAAACCCCATTTACACCGTAAACAGAGTATTGAAATATATTTCTAGGCCCAGGATGGCTCCAGTCAACCTCCAAACGCCAAGCCACCTCTGGGGTCTATAATTATTTCCTTGTTTCCTACTCATTTTCTATTTTTCTTTTCTTTGCTCCTTACTCTTCATCCTATAAAAGCTTCCTGTCCTCCACCCCATTCTGCAGTTCTTTGGACTCGTTTACTATCACCTAAGTTGTCATTTTTAATCATTTTAACAAAAGTAACATTTGGGGTTCAGCATCAACAAAACTAAAGATTAAGATAATAAGATCATTCAAAATGAAAAGAGTCTTTCTACTTGGAGAAATCTACCAGCCCTCAAAAGCTTACAGAAGTGGAGAAGATTTGCTCTCCATAAAGCAGGTAACCTGAATATTCAGCACTTATAGTAGGGGAGTGAGTTGGATAGAAGAATACTGTTAAGATGCCGTGGGAACAGATGCATGGTACTCACAGGCTAAAGAAACTTCATTCAATAGAATTAATCAAATCTCCCTCGTGATGATCTCCACATTCCGCATTCCTGATTGAATACCGCCAAGCCCCCAACACTTGGCTCTAGTTGAAAGCTTCTGTCACCTCCCCCACTTGCTCTAGTGTCTCTTGGTGACCCTCCCAGGGCTTGGCTGGGGCCCCGGGGTGCCAGAGCTGTGATCAGGCTGAATAGCCATAGAATAGATGATTCTGCTGCTAACCCTGGGAGCACAATTCCGTTCTATTTTTGTTCAGCAACACATTGTGCTTTGGACAAAAATAAAAAGACTTCAAAACTACTAAGAGTAATGCTTACACGCAATGGCTATCAAAATATTTCGAGAATACACAAACATCTTACACTAGACATTTTAGAGCGCCAATCGTCTAAGAACTTCAAACATTTTACTTCAAATACCATATTAAAATTTTTAGTTCCTGTACTCTCCTAATTCTCCTCTATAATTCAGTGAGATTAACAGGGTAAAAATATCTTTATATTCCATGCATTAGCTGGAAGGTAAGATCCTAAAAGCAAAAGAAACAAAAGGAAATTGTATTTGTATTTGAAATGAATTCACATAATTTTTGAGCTAGTGTAGTTCATTATTTTTAGACTCATAGAACATTCTCACAGCAACTGTACAACTATTAGCTCTATAAATAATAAAAAAGAAATATTGCTAGTAATTATTCCAAAACAATGAAATTTAATTGCATTACAATTATTTTGATGTTTAAGTAGTATTTTTCTACCTAATGGGATTTCTTGCAGTAGTCGCTTCAACTAAATCTTATTAGGTCAGTAAAATTTAATTAGGAAAAAAATCCCACTCCTGGCCATGATTATTGTTATTCAAGTTCCTGAACAAAGCAAGACATAAATACAAAGCTTTAATGCTTCAACCAGAATGGCATCACAGTTGGACAGGGATTTAAGGAAATGTACTTGTGGCACAGTGATTTTATTCATCCTTCCTGCATTTTTTTTTTTGTTTTTAAGTGTTGAGGAAATTTTAAGGAATTTGTAAGGTCCTTTAAAATGTAACAGATTATCTAGTACACCTGATTTCACTATCCCTTTTCTCCTCCCTGCCTTTAGAGTACCATTTTACCTCCTGGGAACATCTTATTTCTGTAACTGAATTATTTCCTTCTCATGGGAAGGTGGAGTAAATCAATTAATCACTATTGGGTACACCTCTGTAGCTTCTGCTGGGAGGCTTTCTGACAAAGTATCAATACTAATCTTTAATTTCTTGTGGCGCTCTTATGCCCTTACTGATCCATACTTATAAGTGATTTGTACTGGTTCTCAAGACCCAGCATTTGTTTCTTTTTTACCTTATCAGGTTAAACCTGGTAGTTGCCTTGACTGGAAACCTCAGTGATGTTTGTGTTAAGTTGTGTGCACGGTAATTGGCCTGGTGAAGGGAGCCACATCATCTTTCTCACTTCAGGTAAAGCATGTCACACTGGATTATCCCTGTTCACATCTGCCTAGCACCTTGCTTGGCACTTAAAGTACTTGAAGGAATTAATGAACCACCCAAATCACCTGTTGATAGCGATGTCAACTTACCAGCCAGCGTATGCATACATTCCATAATAAAAAGCCAGTGGCAATCCCATAATACTTGCATCTCTTCCTGAAAAGGCATCTTTAAAGTGTTGTGTTTGCCCTACAATAAGAACAGAAAGATTTAGGACTTTTCAAAGATTTGGTTATTATTCATTCTTTAACCATAAACCTGAAGGCGGGGGTGGGGAGGGGGATTGGGAATGAACTATACAGTTTCAGACCTAGCTTTCTTACTCTCTGCTCATTCCCAACTTTACTAATGCTGTATCCATTCTACAGAAGGAGTCCCAAAAGTATACTGATTGCCACTAACACTACCTCACATTTATTTTAATAAAATCATGGCAAAGAGGAAAATGGCATTTCAAAAACAATCTCTTTTTTAAGCATGCCTCTACTCGTAACAGAGTTTGACCAGGAAAGAAGACTAAAGGATAGTCTGTAAACTATAGTTTTTAGGAGTGTGATATAATTCTTAAAAATGATGGTAATATAATGTTTGGGAAGAAATATTCAAGGGTCTATCTTCAATGAGAAGGCATGAAACCCAAGAACCACCTTCTCAGATCATTTAACTTACTTTCTGCTTTCTCCCTATAGTTCATTAGATACCAACAGGGGTTGGAAAACCCTGTGGAACCAATCTGTTCCGCACCCCCAAGCTTCTTTTGTAAAGACAGATTTATTGGAGCACACTTAGGTCCACTTATTTACCTATGACTGATACTATCAGTCTATGGCTAATTTCACTCTCCAGCGGAGCTGATAGTTGTGGCAGAGACCAAATGGTGCACGAAGTTGAAAACATTTACTATCCGCCCATTTACAGAGAAAGTCTGCAGACCCTTTCCTAGAGAATGGCATGCTTTCCTTCTAGAAACAGAAAAGAAACTATACTGAACTCTAAAATAAATAGGTTTAAACAAATTTTTGCAGCAACATGTGAACTGAGCACTTTTATTTTTATTTTTTATAATTTATTTATTTTTGGCTGCGTTGGGTCTTCTCTAGCTGTGGCCAGCGGGGGCTACTCTTCATTGCGGTGCATGGGCTTCTCATTGTGGTGGCTTCTCTTGTTGTGGAGCATGGACTCTAGGTGCACGGTCTTCAGTAGCTGGGGCACGCAGGCTCAGTAGTTGTGGCGCACAGGCTTAGGTGCTCCACAGCATATGGGATCTTCCCAGAGCAGGGCTCGAACCCATGTCCCCTGCATTGGCAGGCGGATTCTTAACCACTGCGCCACCAGGGAAGCCCTGGACTGAGCACTTTTATGCATAACAGTTTTCTCTACTTTGTAGAGACTTTTCCTGTATATCTTTTGGATAATTAAAAAATAGAAATTCAGATTTACTTTAGTCAATCAGTATTCAAAGTTAGGCATGAAAAGTCTCTATTTCCCAAAGAAAACAGCAAATGAGATGATCTAAATGGGAAATGTGACTTGTTTCAAAACTGGCCTTCCTGTAAGAAAATAAAAGGCGGATGGGAGGTAGATGATATACATAAGACCCTTTTTCTCTTCACTCAAATCTCAGTTTTTGCCTGTATTGTACAGGCAAATATAACATGCAAGTTTTGAGATCCAAAATGGAGAATATTGAGTTATCCACTAAATGACTTCCCCTCAAAGCATCCAATTCCTAAATATAGTTCATTTTTTAAAATGATACTGTCAATTCAGAAATACCTATTTTACAAAAACATCTCTTATCCTCATAGAAGGAAAATATAAATACTGGAAACCCTGTAAAAACATCTGTTGCATATTGCCTTACCATGATCTGTAGCCTACTTGGCCTTAAGGGACAATATTCCTAAGAGTGCAGCACTGAATAATCAATAAAAGATATCAATTTTTTTTTTTTTTTTTTTTTTTTTTTTTTGCCATACACGGGCCTCTCACTGTTGTGGCCTCTCTCGTTGCGGAGCACAGGCTCCGGACGCGCAGGCTCAGCAGCCATGGCTCACGGGTACAGCCGCTCCGTGGCATGTGGGATCTTCCCGGACCGGAGCACGAACCCGTGTCCCCTGCTTTGGCAGGTGGACTCTCAACCACTGCGCCACCAGGGAAACCCAAAAGATATCAAACTTTGCAAAGACTGAATCCCAAGCACAGATCCTGAAAAGGGCCATTTTGAGAGTATTACAAAAGAGAGGTGTTTCTAAGTTTCAGGAATATTTCGGCTGCATAACAGAGGTCTCACGAAGATGAAAGTTATTATATTCAAAGGAAAGTTTAACAAATCCTCATAAGAGAATACAGAACATACAGCTAGTTTCTGGATCTCATTAGATTAGAATAAATGCACAATCTGTATAAGTAAAATTTCTCTCTTCTTGAAGTTTCATATTAATGTGAGAAATATGTGATAAGTTAGAGACAAAGAGAATCACTGTTTTATAATAATAGAGTAAATAAGCCTGCTAAGAATACTCTCCAAAATATTTAATTTACTTTAAATGTAGTAAAATTCTCAGGTCACTTCTCTGTTAAGTGAGATATAAGGAAACATGGTCACATTAAGCACTGATATTGAAACTGAGCAGGACCCTGTGGGGCCTTCCCCATGTCCCCTGCCTCTTGTTTGTAGAAAACCTTTAACCTTCTAGGCCTTTCCTGAGTTCCAAAGAGCAATTTTATTCAGAGAAGTGAGAAAATGCAGAAACAAAGGAAAGCAGTCAAACAAGACAAAACAAAATAGTAATAGTTTAGCCGTAAAACGAACTCAAGGTCTTTTAGTTACTCCTCAAGGGCTATAGATAACATCCTGAGTCATACCCTTGAGTTGTTTTCCAGATACTAAAATCCCCACCAGGTGGAAGAAGCTAACTGCATGATCACCACAGTCTTGTGGCCCCAAACTGGCTGCAACCTGAGGATCGATAATGCTGACCTCTGTGACCTTACCTGTTACCTCCTCATCAACCAATCAGAGAATGGTGCATGAGCTGATCATGCACTCTGTGACCCTCTCCCCCACACTGTCTTTAAAAAGCCTTTCCTGAAAGCCATCCAGAGGTTCAGGTCTTTTGAGTATGAGCTGCCCATTCTCCTTGCTTGGCCCTGCAATAAACACTGTACTTTCCTTCACCACAACTTGGTGTCAGTAGATTGGCTTTGCTGTGCATCGGGCAAGCAGACCTAAGTTTGGTTCAGTAACAATATCATAAGTATTAAAGGATCATTCTATTGTAATGTCAAAAAACAAATCTAAACAATCTATCGTGACTTTTGCTCTCAAGGAATTTGCAATACACTACCTCTTGGGCAACCTCACCTCACACACATATATAAATAAGTGGTAAAAACTGACTACAGTCTTACATTACATCAAAAAGAAAAAAGAAATGAAAAAAAATCTTTGTTTTAAAGGATAGTATATCATCTTTTGGAACCTAAACTAGAACAAAAGAAGGGTCCATGACCCAGAGTTTCTGCACTTTCCAAAAATGGAAGAAATTCCTTACAGAAGTCTAAAGAGTTAGCCCAGAAAAGGAGAGCAGCAGCAAAACAGATTATTTTCCCTACATTTCTGACAGGTCAGATAAAATATGGGCAGGCCAGCTCTGTGGAGGCCAAGGTGAATTAGAAGAGTGAGCCCACGTCTTCCCTTCAGTGTAAGCTATAGTGTTAAACATCTTCACTGTGTTTACGTTGGCTGATGTTGCTGGATTTGATGCAAACATTCAGCCAGGAGAGCTCTAAGCTCTCCCACAAGGCTTATTAAATGGACGGCAGCAGCTCCCTTTCCCCAGCTACAGAATGACGCACCGTTCCACTTTTATTACTGTTTAATGCCTCTACCATCAGCAATGATTTTTTTGCTTAATTTTGGCATTTCCTTTTGTCTTGTGTAATTCTTCTCTTGCCACTTCATTAAATTTCTCTATAAATTCCGTTTCTTGGAACAGACAATATCAATGTAAACATTAAATACTTAACATGCCCAAGTTATATGTCAGTCCTTTACAAGTTCATCTCACTTTCTTATTTCCTACCATTGTGCCCATTGTTAGTTAAATAACTCACCTGGACCTCCTTCTCATCCAACAACTTCCCCTGAATCCAAGCAACTGCCTGTGCCTTCTTACCTAGAACAACTGAAACTCTAAATGACATCACCCTCAACCATCTCATCTTTGCTTGTTTAATAGTCAAGTCTATAAGGCAAAAACTCCCAGAAAATGGTGTTACATCTCCACAGAAATGCAGATTTTACATAAAAAGTAATGTAACAATAAAACTTACATTTTTACAGCTATCTTTATTGTCAGATAATATTTGTCTTTTTGCGAATGCTATTCCCATATCTGACTCTCCTTCTGTCAAGAATCTATTCTCAAGGTAAAAGGAATAATAACCGTAAAAGAATTATTCATTATTTTTCATTATTTTCCAGATATCTTTTTCTCTCTAATCTTTAACACTGTGGTTGAACTACTTTAAAGTAAAAATAAGAAGACATATTTATCTGTAGTTAAAACTAATGGCTTATTTTTCTTTCCCCCTTTGTGTTTCTGCTACAAATAGTTTAGACCAAGAGAAAATTCACTGATGCCTTATTTTGTTGCTTGGCCCAGTCTTAATCCTCTTGTTGCCATTCAGCTGTAAATACCAACTCAGCCCCCAATGTTGCAGGCTTTCAAATCAATTAGATGACGGTACAGAGTCTAAGTTCCATGAGCAGAGAGTCTAATTAAGGGATTCTGCTAGCACAAGCGAAAGTTAGTGTTAGAAGAGACCAAAAGCAGAAACGTATTTTAAAAAGCATTTACTTTTCAGTCCCTACCTTTAATTAGCTGCATCACTCCAGGGACTATAATTATCAGAATTGCTGTGAGCTTGCAAAAGGTTAGGAAAATCTGGATCCGGGCACTCCAGCTGACACTCATGCTATTTAGGACCATCACCACAGCTGCAAACAAATAGATGAAGTTAGAAAAGGTGAATCATCATTGGTATGAAGACGTCTTAGGTTGTGGCTCTTCAAAGTGCCATCCATGAACCAGCAGTGTTGCCATTACCTGGAAGCAGTTGAGAAATGCTTAATCTCAGGTACCACACCAGACCTAAGGGCTACAAATCTGTATCTCAGCAAGATCTCTAGGTGAGTTTTAGGCACACTGAAGTTTCAGAGGCTTGGATGAAACCTGTGAACAGTAAGAAGTTCTCTCTTGTTCTTTGTATATGTCAATAAGAGTGGACAAATACGGTAGCGCCCTAATAATCATATAAAAATACCTTCTAAGCAAATCCCGAAGTCATCATATGCAATGAGATTGTTGAATGCAATGAGATTGTTGAAGTCATCACATGCAATGAGTCATCACATGCAATGAGATCTTCAGCTTGATACAGCAGGCAACTCTTTCCTCGTTCAATGATTGACCTTGTGCCTAGCCACCCGCCAGCTGGGCATCACACTCAAGAAGGGGCAATGTGTGAGCTGGGACATGATTCTTCACCGTCAGGACTAGCTGTAGACAGCATTTTTTGCGTTTCCTTTCCACTTTCCAATCAGCACAGTCAGGAGTGACTTTCAACCTACCCTAAATGTATAGGCTTCCCAGATACGTTTTGGAACTTGAAAAAATGCTACAAGGGATGAATCCAAAAGAGTTCCCAGAGGCACAGTGGGTCTGAAGCCAGCAGAATTTCCCTTTCTTGGTGATACTGTCCACAGTGTCCCGAGTAGTATTCAACCATTCACTCTCCCCGCACTGTGGACCATGAGAACCTTGAGGGCAGAAGAAGCATTATTCATCTCTGTCTTGCTAGTATCCAGCTGCATCCCTGGCCCAGGAAGATCGTCAACATGGTTTTGTTGAATCAATGAATGAGCTGGATCCTCAGTTTTAAAAAACCAACTTCAGCCAAAGAGGAATGAAATGAATGGCGATATTCTCAAACCGTGCCTCCTATACTCTGCTGGAGTGACTTATTCTAGACAGTGGATTTCAACTTTACGCTCTTTCTAAAACCTTATGCTTAGTGTTAACTTTCTCCCTCCCCCACTGCCCCAAAAGCTACTTCATACCTGATATTTGTAGTTATTATCTATAAGCTTTATTTTTAAAAAGGTGTGTTCTCCCTAAACAAATAACAAAAATGTATGAAAATACTTCTTGGAGGATAAAACCAAACACAGAATTCTTACAGTTCAGGTTGCAATAGGAAGCTTTCCATATGTACAATAATGAGTCATCTTCATAGTTCCAATTGCCTGATACAATCATTAGCTCATTTCAGAATTTAAGAATTGGAGCAAATGTATCAACACAATGTATAATAGCAAAATTTTTAAAATAACCTAGCCCCCAAAGGAAGGCTAATTAAGGTATACCTTTTTAAGGGTTTACTATGCAGCCATGTAAAATCATGATGCAGTTAAATATTTATTCCACGAAAGATTGTTCATGACGTTTTACTGACCAATACAGCAAATTACAGAGAGATGGGTAGACGATAAATTGTTAGGTAGATAGAAAGACAGATAAAGACACAGAGAGAAAGGAACGGAAAAATTCTGAATGAGTGTTTACTAAAACATTAACAGAAGGTATCTACAGATGATAGAATATTGAATAATTTTCAAGTTTAAAAATTTATTTTTCTGCATGATTTAAAATAATTTTTATAATGAACATGAAGTATTAAGTAAAAACTCAATAAAAGCAATTTTCATTTTTGAAAACAACTCAAAGATGGGAAGAATAAGGGACCATGAAAATTTAGATAGGAGGTTACTAATGAAGAAATATTTCAAAGGAATAATGATGAGAATGATTAGAAAGGCTGGAGCCCTGAATAAGCTACAGGGGAAGCTAAGAGAAATATTTCATCTGTGTTTGAAGCTGGAAACATGAAGAAATAGACAGGTCTATTGTTAATCACCAAGTGCATTATTTTATCAGTGAAAAGATAAAAAATAATTATTTTTCTCTCCCCTATACAAAGCACTTATATACTGAAAATAATTTAATGCAACTCTGTGTTCATCTCCATCACCCAGTGATTCTTTTCCTTTTTCTATGTAAATTACTCTGTGATAAATGAGTCATGATAAGAAAGGGATTATTTTTTTAGTTAAGGAGATTCAGCACTGATCTGAAGATAATTGGGTGCATGTTCCCACCAACAACAAAAGAGCACTGTTTTCTTTTAACTAGAGCTCCTAAAACCCCAAAGTATTTTTGAGAGTATTTTTGAGAGTACTCCACAATAGAAAACAGCTGTTGTAAGGAGAGGAGGGGAGAAAAACGAGGAAGGAGAAAAAGGAATAGAGGGCGGGAGGGCAGGAAGGAAGAAAAAGAAGAAAGAGAGGGAGGGAGGAAGGGGGAGGGAAAAGAGAGAGGCGTTCTCGTATTTAGAACCTCTATATATTTGCAAAGAGGAAAGAAGGTTTGTTACGTTCATAAAGAGCGTAGGCATTACATTCAATGCCTATTGAAATAGAAAAAGAATGAGTTTTGGGAATTTTATATTTTGTGAAGTTTTCTTAGAAAAATGGAAGACAAAATCAAACAAATATTATGAATGGATAATCTCACCTTGCTTTCCCCTCAGACAGCTGGAATAAAAATTCTGGTTAAGCCTGATTTCTCTCAAAGGTTTCTCAAAACCCTGCTTTATCCGAGCATCCAGACATTGCCCTCATTATTCCATACGCCAAATTCCAGCTGAGATGTACCTCTATGACCCTGAAGGGATACAGCTTAACAAGTAACAAGGTAGCCAGTACAGAGGCACTGTGAAGGTCCTGAAGGGCTAGAACTGCTGTTTCATCATGTGTCTTTCCAGAGAAATTTAAGTCTATGTATATTGCTTATCCAACAATCCTGAAAAGGGATTTGGGATTCAGTAAATGCAAGTTTTCAGAGCTTCTGGAACAACATCTACAATACTTTGGTTTTTATACACTATCTATCCACATTGTAATCATCAAAGAAACGTGAGCAAGCGTTCAGCCTAGCTTTACTTCCTTTGAGTAATGATGGCTAACTTCATGCATTAAGAATTACCTGTATCAATTTGGGCTTATTATTATTGCTTACCTTAAATGTTACCAAAATGAAAACGGAGGGACATACAGTTTTTATTTACTTATTAATGATGCCGTTTCCTAAGAACTGAAATGCAGCAACAAGGAGTGTTGAAAACTGGTACCATGATTTAAGGACTGGTAAGTATTTCTTTCTGCACTTCCGTCATTCAAGTCTGTCTTTTATTTTGCAGAGTGAGATGACCGAGCCTGGATATATTGGGTTCTCTCCCAGGTTCAGGTTCTCCCTGGCTTCTGGCTTCTGACTGCTCTGTGCTAAACTGGTAAAATATATGGACAGTATATGGCTGAGACATGGTGAGCTAAGGTGAATTGCTCCACTGTTCTTTGTAGCAGCTGCCTGGGTCGCCTCTGTCTCTTTGCATTCATTTCCTGGATACAATAATTTCAGCAATAAACAACCTTTATAAAGCAGAGAGACTATATCTAGGATCTCACTATTGGGAATAAAAATGGTAAGCCTTAAATAAATATATACTATTGTTATATGACAGACATTGTGCAAGGACCTTACGTGGATAATGTTATTTAATCTTATCTCTATGACGTGGTTACCATCACTGGTGTTATTTTTCTGATGAGCAGGTGAGAATCCAGATATTACTTAACTTGCCCGTGTTCACGAAGGTAAGGTGCAAAGATAGGATTGAAGCCAAGTAAGCTGACCCCAGAGTCCACACTTTCACCAGTCGTTCACAGGTAACAATGCGGAAGTAGCTCAGAAGACACGTACGATCTCACTACTATACCTAGTTCTTCCAGACTCCCGGTGACGCTTCCTCTCTGTTAAGGTTCATGTTTATCTTGGCTGGGATTTCAGGACACTTTGATTCCACATTTTATTTCTCACCCTCCTGAAGGGTACGGCTGCTGTTCTGCGGCCCTTGTATATTTCAACGCAACATGTATTTCCCTAAGAATTGCTTGTCATGGTATCTAGTTATGGTAGAAAAGGAGTAGGGATAGTCCAATTTCAGATTTATAGAGAGTCACTCCATGTACAATGTCTGAGAAGCCAGCACAGAACTGGGCCTAGAGTTTCTTTCATGTAATTTAATGATGCCAGGAAAGGACACTTTTAGAAAAGAAAGTACAGTACTGCATTTGTAGAAATGGCTATTCGTTTTTCCCACATCGCCATCATTAGTGTTACTTTGTTTCCTTCCCCCAATTATTCCCACAGGTTATGGGAAGAAGGTAGGGCTCTTTACTCACCTACGTAAACTAAACTAGTAAGAAAATTGAGATGGAGAGAGAGGCTGTTAGGGATGCATCTGAGACTAGATCCCACATTTTATTTTATTTTATTTTATTATTTTGCGGTACGCGGGCCTCTCACTGTTGTGGCCTCTCCCGTTGCAGAGCACAGGCTCCGGATGCGCAGGCTCAGCGGCCATGGCTCACGGGCCCGGCCGCTCCGCGGCACGTGGGATCTTCCCGGACCGGGGCACGAACCCGTGTCCCCTGCATCGGCAGGTGGACTCTCAACCACTGCGCCACCAGGGAAGCCCTAGATCCCACATTTTAAGGAAAGTATTTTTATCATAATATTCTGCCATTCAAGTGTATACTTAAACAGGGTCTAGTTTCAGGAGTGCAGAACCAAAAAACTAAATATCATTTCAAGTATTGAACATACTTCAATGTTTATTGAAGCTACAAGGAGAGTGAAAATTCATGAGGGAGTAATGTCAGTATTGGGCTAGAGGAGAGAAGACAAATGTGAATATATAAGATTTCCCCGTTCAACTTCCATGTGCCTGATACGTTTACCAGAATGGACAAGATTTGGGGTAAGCAAAAACTTCTCATTTTTATTAATTTGACAGAAACGAGGTAGAGTACTTTTAAAAGGGTAGGGGGTGAATTAGTATTCAGTAACGCCCCCCTACCACCCCACTCTCATTTCTCAAGTGGTTGGTTAAGGCACTCTGCTAAGTCTTAAAAATCTGACTCACTTCGCCCTTCCACAGCCATTCAAGATAGATGATCTTTTCACAGGTGTTTTACCAATAAATAAAAACAATGCTTAAAGAGGTTTAATATTTAGCCCTAAATCACATAACTAAGAAATTATGACACTAACTTTCAATTCCAGGTCGTTTGCCTCCAGAGCCTGAGTTATCACCACTACGCTAACATGGTTCAAAAGTTCAAAAATTCATGGTGTTAGATCGGAGCAAACTATTTACCTCCATCTTCCTGCTGCCTGAGAGACCTGAAGATGTGTAATCCTCCAAGTTTAACACACAGGCATTCCATTGGCTTCTCTACTAGAGAAAAATTCTTAGACCTCTTCTCATAAAAATCAGTTGTCAATAAATATTTACTGAGCGCAAACGACATGCTAGGTGCTATGGGAAGGGCTGGAAACACAGCAGCGAGTAAGCCCCTGGTCTCACGGAATTTGATGAGATGTTTTCCCACAAGAGTATAAAGAGCTACCATTTGTAACTTCATTCTTAAAAAATTTCTGGCATTCTCCAAAACACTTTATATACATTGGCTCTTTTACTATCGTTTCATCTTCACAAGACACCTGATGAGACTGGGCACGATTTAAAGGTAAGAACACGGAGGTGCAGAAAGTTGAAGTGATGTGTCCCCAAGTCTCACATCGGTGGTATGTTATCAAGGGCAAGGTGAATCAGGAACACCATTACCTTTCCAGAACTCAGAAATGTCTAATTCGAGTATTTTTCTTTGCCTCCCTTCAAAGATTTCACCGAACAATTATTTGTGTAGGTTCCATGAATGAAGGGGGAGAATCCAGGATGAACCTACTTAGTTCAGAAATACATGTACCCAGCACTAGGGATATTTTAAGTGCAATTCCTAACTCCTTCCTGCTAACTGACCACTCACCCCTCTACTGTCAAATGTTCATGTCTCTCTTCGTTGTTCTATTGAAATACTTCAGTCATGTAGAACTACAAATTCTTTCGTGGGTATGCAGTTCAATTATTCCTGGGGAGCTCTCTATCTCCAACTAGGTCAAACTTCATCAAGTGGGATAATATTGATTCTGAAAACAGTGATTCAGTTAGTATCTACAAGTAAGTGATCATCTCCCATTATATTTAAGAGTTTGGAATGTCGACTCTTATAAGAGTTTGGAAGTTAGAGTCATATTGGGCTTCATATCACTTATATCATTTTGGTCATGTTCCTCTTTTTTAATTTCCTTTTTTTTTTTTTTTTGCGGTACGCGGGCCTCTCACTGTTGTGCCCTCTCCCGTTGCGGAGCACAGGCTCCGGACGCACAGGCTCAGCAGCCATGGCTCATGGGCCCAGCTGCTCCGCAGCATGTGGGATCTTCCCGGACCAGGGCACGAACCTGTGTCCCCTGCATTGGCAGGCGGACTCTCAACCACTGCGCCATCAGGGAAGCCCTTAATTTCCTTTTTTAAAGAGAGTTCTAATATCTGTGCCCATTGGTGAAAATGAACAACTTCCTAATTTAGAGACAATAAAGAAGACTCCTAGTTGAGGAACATTACTAATAATCAAATACTGGAGGAAGACTCTTGTGACCATCGATGGACAGCTAAAATCCTAACACTGAGAGTGACAGCTGCTAACACTAGAAAATGCATGAACACTACACACACCCAACACATAAACACCATTCCATGAGGCTAAGTGCATTCTAATTCAACACGTTATTGGTGAGGAAGGATATTTTCCAATACAGAATCCATTTAAAAATTGGGTTTTCATTTGTAAACGTCTCTTTTTATGTACAATCCAGTTACTATTTTACTAACAAAGTGGTTTTGTTTGCCTCTTTTAAAAGCTTAGCCGTCAGAGCTACTGACCCGGTGCAAAACGGGCATGTAATGTCATATCAGGTATCACTCCACCTCCTTATTCTTTTCTTTGTTTTCCAAACACAAACTTGGCAGTGAACTGTAAGCAAAAAGAACACCATGTGGGAAGCAGTCCCACCACACAAAAAGTCTTAAGAAACTTTGTCTCCAATCCCAGTTGTAGGGTTTTTTTTTTTCTCTTTCATATGTACACCTATGATACTCACTTATGCCCACAGCTGTAATGAGCTTGACTGCAAGTTCAGGAATTTCACACTGAATGAAAAATGGTTCCAGAATGTACCGTCCAAAGGCCAGAGATATCACAGCAGTGGCTGCAGGGCTAGAAAAAAAAAATACATATTTAGGTTAACTACAGAAAAAGAAAAGAGCATCTTCACTCAACTCGTTCTACACTGAGGTGCTATTATTCAGCATGTGGAACATATTAAATACGGAAGTCTGTGATTTCCAGAAGTCCATATTTGATTAGATTGTCATAGACATTCCGAATGAAATACTGTCTACAACTTTGGGGGCTCCTTTTTAAACTTCACATCTCCTTGGGTACAAGGCTGGGTACTGTCAGTTTTGCCCCTGCCTTCCCGTATTTGAATTTTTCTTAAAAATTGAGTTTATTACTTGAGATCCTGACAGAGGTGGGCTTCACAAGAAGCAATCTTCTTTCTCAGTAAGTCAACAGTTAAACTCCAGCACAGCATGAATGCATTAACAGTGCAGGTCTAATGGGTTGGGTCATGGTCAGAAAAGGAACACAAAACCCACCTTAAAAAAACTAGTACTAATAAGTGTTCATTGCAAATATATGCTTATGTGCTTGATATCGTATCAGTCTTGGTTTTCCATACAGACCAAAACTTGAAGAGCCAAGTGATTATTCTTAATTCCACAGAAGTATTTAGATGCAAAGTATACATTGAAAAATAAAAGTATTCTTGTAATTTTACAAATGGAGAAAACATGCATGAAATAAGAAAATGCAATAACTTCAGGTATATAGTGAAATAGGTAACAGACCATTCTATCTTAATTTTTCAACTATTTCTATGCAAAGATTACAGATGCCTTTCAGTTTAAATATATCTATATATGAATGCATATTTGTTAGATACACAGGTAAGTCCATGATATTATCTACTTTGTCCTGCCTGTCTTCCCTTTCAGCTTATCTTCCTTCTCATGGTTATACCACACCCATGTCCAACTCCTAACTGTCAGAAAATCAACCACCATTATATGTTCCAACCTTGACCTGCCAGTACTAGCATGACAGATTTCTTGATTTTTTTTTTTTTTTTTTCTTTTCCAAGAGAACCTCTTCCTCACCCCAACAAGATTATTTTTCTCGGTCGCCATCATTTATAAATTTTTGACGTATAAATTAAAATCTGATCATGACATCGTATTGCTTTCAAAACATGCTCAGGATATGCAAAAACTCTTCAATTCAAGGCTCTATCTGCTCTAAGCTTTTCCTTCCTCTTCAGTGTGCTTCTTCCCACACAAGGATATGAACACCCTTTGCCTGAGACCTCTGCAACTCACTGACGGTTTCTCATACCTCAGGTCTTAGTTCAGTCTTTTGCCCAAGGAAGCTTCTCCACTCCCCCGACCGGGTTAGATCTCCCGGAGTGTACTCTCCTCCAGAACCTCATGGTTTCTCTTTCACAGTGTGTATCACAGTAGTAACTTTATATTCTCTTATGTGATGTCTTGATTCATAACTATTTCCCTCATTTGACCCTGAGATCCATGAGTACAAGGCTGTGTCCAACTTAATCATTATTTCGTCTTCAGTGTATAGTATAGTGTCTGTCATACAGTAGAAACCCAATGAATATTGAATATATAGTCAATGTGTGAATTCAATCAAATGACCCCTGATGTGTGATTTTTTTTCCCTTAAGATTTGTTTTTACAGACTAATTCTGACAAGAGTGTGTTAACCTGATGTACAATTTTAATAGTAAGTATTTAGGTACCATGGGTGTTTTCAATGGAAGAGAAATGTTAAAGTACCTAGGTATCTTGTCACCCCTCAAGCCATTCATGACTCTGCCTATCTGAGAAACCAGTTGAGTCCATTATTACAAAGAAATATATGAACCCATTAAAAAAGCTTCTAGAATATATCTAGGTAATTTCTTCTGTAAACACACACACACACACACACACACACACACCACGAAGTAGCTCTCCTGTGATTAAAGTAACGTTTGATTATGAGCTGCTTGAGAATAGGAACCATGGCTCACTCCACTTCAGGTCTCTTTAACGTGCCATTCACCGTTCAGTAGCAGTTTGTGGAATGAATAAGTGAACGCATAAGCACCGTATCGGTGCTACTGCTGCAAATGGAATGACCATGCTCATCACACTGCCAATACAATCAGCCAATACAGGACTAAAGCAGGACTCAAGTCCAGCTACATCAGGTTCCAAAAGCCTACTGTCCTGGCAGGCCAGCACTCTAAATAAGTAGTGTAGCCATCTGAATGCTGAGTATGTTGTATTCAAAATATTATAACCTTAATCTTTCAGTTACTTGTTCAAAAAGAATTTAATATCTGATCATCAGGGCACTGAATTAAGTGGTATAAGGGTTACAAAAAGTGTGAGACTTGGTCTTATATGCTTGAAATGCTTGCAGTTTTAACAGGGAAACAGAGCGCGGATTCCTAAAATATTAAGTAAGGTTATATGACATCATGTTCAATGTCAAATGAGAAGATGAGACTGCATTTTTCTCAGAATTATTAAGAGAGGAAAGACATACTATAAACTAGGGTGAACAGGAACTTAACTGTGGAAATGACAGAATTTAAGTTGACCTTTGAAGAGTAATATTCAGATGATCAGAAAAGAGTGGAGGCGCATCCCGGGCCAATCCCAGAGTTTAGAAAAGGAACAAAATACCTCTTAATCATTATTTCATTATAACAAACTTTAAATCATGCAGAATTGTCTAAAAGGAGAACAGATTTCACAAAGAAGTAAATACTACTCTAAGATCTTTGATAAAAAAGAGACTCCTAGAACTATAAAAACAAAGATTAGTGTTAAGTCAATACTTACTAGCTCTGCATTTGCCACTTAGGCCCACATGACAGGATAAAAGCTCACAGGAGCTCTCAGCTGTGTAAGTTTGATAAGTTTACAGTAAGAGCAAGTTTCTCTACTTACTCATGTTAAACTCTGCAATCAGAATGTGTTAGTCACATTTCACGGACGCCATCTGCCTTCAAGATACTTTTATACTTCTCAGGTGACATCATAAGTTTCCCACAAAGTTAGAGGAAATTTGCCGCTCAGAGTGACTTAGCATTATTTGGTTTGATTTTAAACCAGGGCTATCAGGAAGAGGAACGTATTCTTACAAAAATAAACTCAAAAAAGCTTTTCGCAACAGTAGTTCACTGATTTGTTTAAGATGAGGATATGAGTCATCTGTGACAAGTGAAGTTTTGTTCTTTTATAGAGTATAAAACTTGGTAACGGGCTTCCCTGGTGGTGCAGTGGTTAAGAATCCGCCTGTCAATGCAGGGGACATGGGTTCAAACCCTGGTCCAGGAAGATCCCACATGCCGCGAAGCAACTAAGCCCATGCGCCATAACTACTGAGCCTGCGCTCTAGAGCCCGCATGCCACAACTACTGGGCCCACATGCCACAATTCCTGAAGCCCGCACGCCTGGAGCTTGTGCTCCACAATGAGAAGCCACCGCAATGAGGAGCCCACGCACCGCAATGATGAGTAGCCCCTACCTGCCACAACTAGAGAAAGCCCACATGCAGCAATGAAAACCCAACACAGCCAAAAAAACCAAAAACAAAAACAAAAGCAACAACAACTTGGTGACATACTAAATTGTTAGGAACAGAAGCTTCCTAGTCACGAAAACTGAGTAAACTAAGATGGCTTAATCGTGTAACCTACAAGAAGAAAAACTCCAGTTCCTATAACGTAACATTTAATTTTGTCTAATTATGATTTACAATCAAACAAAAGGTCTGATTTATCAAGGTAGATTTTGATGCTTCTTATCCTTTTCAAGTCAGCATCTGTCCTGAAAATGTCATGGAAAATAACTGAATATTAACAAAAAGCAGATGCTTTAAAAGTTTGGCAGGGTTGGCAAACTACCGCCAGTGGCAAAATTGTATTAAACACATTCATTGAGAAAGGTATTCCATCCCAGATTTTATGTCCTGAAGTAGACATGTTTACCATATAATCACATGACATGTATATTTCTAACTACTGAAAAATAATCAAGGTGATTAAAAAATGGTATAATGAAGGGCTTCCCTGGTGGCGCAGTGGTTGAGAGTCCGCCTGCCGATGCAGGGGACACGGGTTCGTGCCCTGGTCCGGGAAGATCCCACATGCCGCAGAGCAGCTGGGCCCGTGAGCCATGGCCGCTGGGCCTGCGCGTCCGGAGCCTGTGCTCCGCAACGGGACAGGCCGCAGCAGTGAGAGGCCCGCGTGCCGCAAAAAAAAAAAAAAAAGGTATAATGAATAGGTTTATTTTTCCTTAATTTTTTTGTATGTAGGCTCTTACCGTATAATGAGCAGTTCTACCCAGACTCGCACAAAAGCTGGTAACGGGCCAAAGACTTCCAGAATGTATGTGTAATGACCACCAGATTTCTTTATAGTTGTTCCCAGTTCAGCATAGGACAAGGCTCCTGTGAAATATTTATAATAAAAAGGTGAAAAGTTAAAATATTACCGAGTCATCCAGCAGTAGAATGGATACAACGTTTCTGTTGTGTGAGATGTTACTACCTCCTTTGATCTGAATGACATCCTTTTTCAAAATTAATAACAGTCATCGAATTCCTAAGAGCCTCCAGATTCCTCTTGTAACCTCCTCACATTTGAGATCTAGTTCATTCTATTCAAACAATGTAATCTGACCTGAAATAGTAAGGACAAACTTCTAAAACAATATCATATTATTAAGAATTTTGAATCTCAAACCTGACAAGAGAAAAGGAGTAGATGGATGCCAATATCACTAACCTATTTTTCAAAGAACTTCACATCAAAACAAGGAATTATCACAAATTGACTTCATTATATTGAGAAGCCTTTTAATAAATGATATTTCTGTGGCATGTCAAAATAAATAAGATTCATCTGTTCTCCAGAGAAGTATGGACTCAAGGCTTTGGAAGGCTTCATTTAATTTGTAGGATATGTTTTGCTTGTCCACAAAATGAATTTTGACACAGCTATTCTGTTTTTAGGAAAGTTTTTCTTGCATGTCTTCGAAGTACACACTCCGTATGGCTGAAATAACACCTACTTTTAAAAAAGAGGTTTTATGACGTATTTACGTACGTTAGGTAAAATTAACTATAGGCCAAATTTTAACATTTAGCAATAAACTTCACACAGAGTTGAGCAAGTTCTATAATCTCCCCAAACCTCAGTTTCATCCTCTGTAAAATAAAGAGCTTAATTCTCACATCACAAGGAGTTTGTGTGTTTAAATTTGAAATGGATGCCAACGACAGCGTTGAGCCTGCCACGCAGAAAGCACCTCGTGAAATACAGCTGTATCTACTAACGTGAGCAATGAATTTCCAAGAAAATGAAAAATATATTTTGACATTATGTGAAAAGTTCTCTCCATACCGCCAAGTACTCGAACGTAAGACGTAATTTCTGCCTGGCCTGCTCTGGGGACTCAAAGTGTGGGAACTTATTACTAATCAGTAAAGCTTCAGGTAGAACTGTCCAACATGAATGTAACTTGGATATTCAGCAAAATCTTAGCGTCAGTTACCGTATTCCTGTATCACTTCTTGTATTCCTGTACCTCGTACTGGATCAGAGTCACCTGGGGAGAATTTTTTATTTAAAAACAAACAAAAAACAAATGCTAAGGCTATACCCCAGACCTACTCTCTAACCAAGAGAGGCCAGACTGTCCAAAAGAGGCATCCAAGAAAATCTATTATTTTAAAATTCACACAGGTTAATTTTAAAGTAACTAGTCTACAGATTGATATTTGGGGATCACTGATATAGCCTGTCTATTTATAACGAATTGGAACTAGTTGCAATTCACTCTCTGTTGGAAACCAGTCACCATGTTGGTAGGCTGTACAAAGAAGCAGCCGATATAAAATGTTATTGGAAAGTGTCTTAAGTACCTCAGAATTTATCCCCCAAGAATCAATACCTAGACCTTTGTATGCTTTGCTGAAACTCCAGGATAGTTGCCCCAGGTTTAAATTGAGTTCTGGAGAAATGAAATTTTCATTTAAAGGTCTCAAGCTCTATAACCATTTTACCCAGATGAAAAAAGTTCAGAATAGGTTGTAAGAATCCATGTATTGACCCTGGCTTAAAAAACACCTGTAAATCCAATATACAGATTCTTTACTTTTAGTCCCAGAGTTCTAGAGTTCTAAGACAAAGGATTTTTTTCCTTATATTTTGCTTTGCTTCCTGTTAAGAAGGTACTCCTATCAAAAGTTCCTAGTAACTTAAGTGATAAACGCAATGCAAATATAGATAAGTAGGTTAGTACAGGAGCACACTCACTGCAGTTAGTAATCAAAGAATACCAACTCAAGTATAAACTTAGCTAGTCCCTTTAGCTTTTTTTTTTTCCTGAACTTCTTGAGATGATATACTTATGCAGAAGCATATTTTCTAAGTGCAGGTCAACATCACTTTCATCACTTTAACTAGTTAATGCTCAGAGCCATCCATTTTATTATATCTGAATAACCTTTTATTGTTTACGAAAATGGAATCTCATAGTGGGAGCTGCACGCACACAGTATGCAAAATCCAGGAAACTGGTTATGGTTTCTCCCATCAGACACTGATTTGTTCTGAATATACCACGTGTTGGAGAAGATTAAAGGCTGAGGAGGCATAGTCATTTAGAAAGATCAACAGTTACGTTTCTCTTTGTTCATCTATAAACGTACATGCCACACCATATGAATACCACGAACCCTTTGTAAGCTAAAATAACCCCAAAATAATTCCTCTGTAGATCTTTCTATGCAGCTTTTTTTTAAACAAGTTTTATTTAAAATACCTTCTTCCTAATAACGGAAGTTGGAGTTCTCTTGATGAATGCTCAGACCAACGCTGAAAACACTGCAAGGCCTTAAGAATAAATGGATTGGTCCTTGTAGGACCAAGAGTTAGTACTTGGTCCTAGAGTTTGGACAAAGAGTTAGTACCTTTAAAGAACAGTATCTTTTGAAATCAGAATACATTGTTTGCCAGAGAAGAGCAAATATGTCTTAGACATGTTTCCCATAACATAAATAAAATTTCATTTTCTTGACCATTCACCAGTTTTTGTCACCTTCACAACTAACCCAGGTAGCTTTCTAGTAATGTGCCCACCTCATGAGGGGACATTTATTACCTCTTTACTATTAATGATCAAGTCAATAAAAGAGATCTAGATTTTGAAGAAAAATTAATAATCATACTTCTTCTACCAGTTCTGTTTAGACTAACTCAGCAGACAGGTGGGCCAATGACCTGTGTCTCTGAAGACCAAGTGAACTAGAAATGAAGAAAACAGAGCTGGGCAGACACAGCAAACTAACACCCAATTCCAATTTTACAATTTATATTGCAAAGGTTTATGGGTACTGGGGAGAGATGAAAAGTTGAAAAAACTGTGAACTATGCCCAGACCCTTGCAATATTCTCATTTACAAAAGGAATTGTATGCCATCACACTTCTTTCCACAATAAGGACTTCTGAAAGAATACTGGGAACTGACAAGCGCCTGAAGTTAAAAAATTAAAAAGGAAAAGACTGCCACCCATTTGTTTAGCCAATAAAAAGTCAGTAAAACTTCTGCTGAACACTCAGTTCTGTGTCTAAACAGGCCACACCGGGTTTCACTTCACAGGTGTTTCATTCAGTGCGCCAGCTGCCAAGATGCCCCAAACACAGGTAACTGAGCACAAATGCCTGGTACAGAAAGCTTGCCTGTATTTCACTGGGTCATCAAAGCTAGCCTTGACGTTCATTGCCACAGGGAAAAATCAGAAAATAATCTACCTGAGTCAGCAAAAGCGAGCACAGCCTACAGGTCGCAATTTCAGGGAATTCAGGATTCTGCCAACAGTGGAGAGTGTGCGTGGACAGTTCGCATACCTCCCCCCAGATCAGAAAATCTGGGGGAGCCCTGGCCATTCATTCCCTCCTTAGAAATCACCCTCTGTTCTCCCAGAGAGCACGGCACCCAGCCCCACAGACACACCCCCAGAGAAGCGGCAACACTCACCAAACAGTGACAGGACCCCGCACACCGTCCAGACAACCAGGGACAAGCCCACGCTGCCCGTGTTCTGGAGCACGCCCTTAGGAGAGATGAAGATTCCTGCTCCGATGATGGTGCCGATGATGATGGAGATCCCTCTCAACAGACTGATCTTCCTCTTCAGCACAACTTTCTCCTGCCCAGGTGGCTCCTTGCCACCCAGGGAAGACAGCCTCGTGTTAACACTGCCCTGCAGGTAACCCCCATTGGAGATGGTGGATGCCACAGCCTTTCTGACCATGGTAGTGACCCGCAGGGTAAAAAGCAAACAGAGCAAAAGAAAGAAAGAAAGAAAAAAAAAAAATTAAAAGAATAAAACCTCCAAACTTTCAACTTTGGTGTCTCTTGGGGTGACTGACCGATTTGATCTCTTCCTCTTTGCCTTCAGATTCCTTCTCAGCGCTAGTGTGCTCCCAGGTAAAAACTCTAAGGTGTATTTTCACCTTCCGCAATCTAATTACTCACAGGAACACCTGTGTGCTCGTTCATGGTGTTCTGGTTTCTCCACCTCCCCGACTACCTCTGCTGCTGAGGCTGCGGCTGCCGCCCTATCATTACAGCCCAGCTCAACTTCCTCATGGGCTGGTATTTAAGCTGCTGCCTGTCTCACCAACTTACTCCAGCTAGATGATGATGCAAATTCTCCAGGTTTGCATCAGCCACATGAGAAGGCTCCAGCATTACTCAGCTCTTTTTTTTTTTTTTTTTTACCACGAGCCGCAAGTTGCTCAACTGACCAAAGCTTTCAGAGAACAAAGCACACTCTTAACGGGGATCTTAACCAATCCAGAAGTAGTAAATTCGGAACAGACCTTCCGAGCGATTTCAAGCAACTCCTAGTGAGGGACAAAAGCTCTTCACTCGAAAAGAAAATGAAAAATGAAACAGGAAATGATCACTGTGTTGCAAGGAGTTTCTTTTCTTTAACGTACAAATAAAATCGTTTATACCAACCTTTTGATCACAGAACAGAACTCAAAGCTGCATTGTTTATAACAACAAAATTTAGATTTCGTGATGTTTCCTGCTTATTTAAATTTCTTTTTGGGTTTCCTAGCAACACGGTCAAATCTAATATTTACAAACCTAGAATGATTCTGTATAGCTGCTGTCACGCACATAACAACTGTGAGTTTTACTTAACATTAAAAGATAAAAATTATTTCTTACTACCCATAATAACACCGGTACTTAAAATTGTCATCTGAGTGTGACTACTTCAAAAATTACAGTGACTCCAGAAAAGAGTCATTTTCTGATTCTCATAAGTGCTAGGTGATCTCCTAAACTAAGTAAAAGATAGATTCTTCATTTGCATGTTGTTCCAAAAAATTACACACACACACAAATCTAATTTCAATATTAAGCAAAATTTACAATGATATAAAAACATGCATATAACAAAGGCTTGAGAAGGGATACACAGAATAAAATCGAGGGAAGTGTTAAGATTATGTAGGAATTTTTTCTAAAGTATAGCAACTATTGTTATATTATGATTATAAACTTAGAATGAATTAGAAATATAAGCTAAGATTAAAATGTTTAGTTTACTAATAAGGACCTACTGTATAGCACAGGGAACTCTACTCAATACTCTGTAATGGTCTATATGGGAAAAGAATATAAAAAAAGTGGATATATGTATATGTATAACTGAATTACTTTGCTGTACACCTGAAACTAACACAACATTGTAAATCACCTATAGTCCAATAAAAATTTTTAAAAAATGTTTAGTTTGAAATAGTAAGAAAGGCAAACATTTTAAAACCCTATTAACTTTCTTAACCAAGCATCCATAAAACAAATACTGAAAGAAAAGAAATCCTAGGTGTCACTTTTGGCTGTGGTCATAGGTGGTTTTGGATTCAGTGAGAAGAATTAGATGCTATCATTACCCTGAAGCTACATTTGCAAACGCGATTAAATATGCTTCTGAACAGCTAAGCAAAGACAACAGGCAGAAAACGTGTGTGCAAGGTGGAGGTGGGGATGGAGAGGGGGTCAGGATGACACAAGAAAGAAACAGCCACTAGAAAGTAGCATGGAGAAGGTCAGACTGTTTTCTGTTATGTTGGCACCTGAGGAAGTGATACCACGTCAGTGCTCTATCATCCAGATAACTGAGGCTGCATCATTGCTTACTGGTATTACGTAGCTAAACCCTACGTAATTTGCTTTGAGTATACCAAGTTAGGGTTTTTATCAAGCCAAAATAAATACTTTTCCCAGCTGCATGGCTTTCAAAAAATAAAGATGGGTAGTTTTCCTCATTCCACCTTGTTGAAATGCCAAAAAAAAAAAAGAAAAGAAAAAGCTATAGGAAAAAAAAGGAAGATTCTGTTTCTCTTTCTCCTCCTCCGAGTCCTTCAATCACACAATTCTCTTGATTAATTCACATAATGAAGAGAGGAGAGGCTTTCGTTTCCCGAAAAGGGGACCAGATTAGCCCTGAAGAAATAGGAGTTAAAAGTAGAACGCAAACTAACGCAGAGCCACAGTTCAATTTTAAATTTTGCGCTAAATGACTAAACTCATAAATTGAGAGTAAGAGTGCATTCAGACAGAAGTTAGATACATTCTAAAGGAGGAAAAATATTCTTTTAATATCAAATGACATTCTCCTCCTTTGGAGTATTTTTTTTTTTTTTTTTTTTTGCGGTACGCGGGCCTTTCCCTGCTGTGGCCCCTCCCGTTGCGGAGCACAGGCTCCGGACGCGCAGGCTCAGCGGCCACGGCTCACGGGCGCAGCCGCTTCGCGGCATGTGGGATCTTCCCGGACCGGGGCATGAACCTGCGTCCCCTGCATCGGCAGGCGGACTCTCAACCACTGCGCCACCAGGGAAGCCCCCTTTGGAGTATTTTTAAAAATTATTTACAAAGAAAAGTTACTGAAGTTAGAACAATGGCCAAAAGGATTGTACTATCTATATAAAACACAGTCACATTCAAAACCTCTGCATAGCTGCAAAACGGTTACCGAAGACACCAGTATATCTCATCCAGTCACCCAGAAATTTACCAAAAGTGTAGCTTGTAAAGAAAATATTGAGTTACCTTCTGGGTTACTTTATAAATCAACAGTCCTAAACTTATAAATTAAAAAATTGTATGGTCTTCAAATATGTGTGTATCGTGAAAATTAGTTCCAAGCAAATGCATTTATATCCTCCGTCCTGTTTAGGCCTTATTTTAAGCGTTCCTGTCAAATTGGGAAACTATTCGAGTGCTATTTACAAATATTAATTTAGTGCACAAGAAATAGCCCCCGTTCCCTAAAAGCATTTCATGGAAGAAAAAGATGTGATATATCATGGTAGCTTCCCTTTTCTGGTAATAATTTCTGTTCCATGATTATAACTATGGGCATATAATGAATGACCGGGCCAAATATAATCATCTCCCCAGCTGCAGGGTATAGGAATGTGGCCTGAGCTGGGGTATTTCTAAACAGAATTAGATTTATTATTTTTTTCATCTGTCAGAAGTTGTAAAGATGTGACCCTAGAACAACTGGAGGCCATGTCCCCTGCCATATTGAGAAAATCCTGGCAGAATAAAAGAGAATAAGCAGAGAAGAGAGATACGTAGTCCCAACATCATCAAGCCCTGTTTTCATTCCTAAGGAACTCAGATTGGCTCTGGATCCTGAAGGTCTTCCTTCAATTCTATAAGCTACTTAGTTTCCTGGTTAACTAAGGAAATAGTTATTTATATATTATATATTCCCTGGTCATGCTACACACGAGAAAACAATTGCATTTGGGCGGTAGAGTTAAATGTAAATGGCATATCATTAAAACCTCTAAACTAGGTTAATATGGCATATGGATAGCCACATATGATAGCCCTTAGACACATATGGGTATCAGCACTTGAAATGTGCCTAGTCCAAATGGGGATGTGCTGTGTGAAATATCCACTAGAATTTGAAATCTTTTTTTTTAAAGAACAAAAAATATCTCCTTAATAATTTTGTTATCCCTATTAATTTCTCCAGCGTCATTATATTTTTAATATGGCTACTTAAAAATTTAAATCATATGTGTGGTCCAAATGTGTGTTTCACCTTGTTTCTAATGAATAGTGCTGATCTACAAGAAAACATAGACTGTATTTCCCAAGTTGGTATAAGTGGGGATTTCTTAAAAGGGACACACGAAGTACTAACCATAAAAGAAAGGTACATTGTAATATATTAATATTAAGAATTTCAGTTCATCGAAATATACGATCAAGAGATTCATGATACAGGGTTTCCCTGGTGGCGCAGTGGTTGAGAGTCTGCCTGCCGATGCAGGGGACATGGGTTCGTGCCCCGGTCCGGGAAGATCCCACATGCTGCGGAGCAGCTGGGCCCATGAGCCATAGCCGCTGAGCCTGCGCGTCCGGAGCCTGTGCTCCGCCAAGGGAGAGGCCACAACAGTGAGAGGCCCGTGTACCGCAAAAAGAAAAAAAAAAAAGAGATCCATGATACAAAATACATTATCAAAATACATAATCAAAAGTGAACCATAAGGTGGAAGAAGGTATTAACACCTGGCAAAGATCCCATATCCAGAATAAATAATACATTTCTACAAATCAACAGGAAAAAGACAGATAACCCGGTAGAAAATGGGCAAGAAATTTGAACATACACTTGATAAATACATTTGATGTGAAAATCTACAGTAAATGGACATCTTTTTGGAAAACAACTAGATACTGAAATGGCCCTGAAAAATAGAAAAATTAAGCAAATAGAAAAAACTGAATAACCATTTAAGGTGGTAATCAAGGATATCCTTGGCTCAAAAAAACAAAACAAAACTAAGCTTCATTTGATTTACAGATAAGGCCTACCAAATTTTTATGAACTAAATAATCTTTCTCAGAAAAGTTATTTAAGAGAATGGAGAAAGAAGAAACATTATCCAACTCATTTTTGTGAGTCTAGTGTAGGAGTTGGCAAACTTTTCTGTAAAAGGCCAGGTAGTAAATATCTAGGCTTTAAGGCCACACGTAGTCTCTGTCCAGTGTTCTTTGTGTGTGTGTGTGTGTGAGTGCATGTGAATGCATTTGTGGTTTACAACACTTTAAAAATGTAAAAAATATTCCTAGCTCTTGTGTAGTTTGCCAACCCTTGGTCTAGTAATACCATGACTGCAACTAGGATAAGGTCATGCAGTCACTGCACTAGCTATGACAGATGACTTTGTAAATAATTTTTTATTAAAGCATAGACATGCCCACTTATTTGTATATTGTCTTTGGCTACTTTCACACTACAACGGCCGACATGAGTAATTGCAACAGAGACTGAATGGACCACAAATTGGAAAATGCTTACCATCAGCTCTTTACAGAAAGTGTGCTGACCCTGGCCTAAGAGAACACGCAGGAACTGCCAACCCATTTTTTTATTTTATTTTGTCTCTTCCTAGTAACTGTTCTTGAGTATTCAGAGCTTGCTAGTCCTACAAGATAGACATGCTGCAGCCTTAGGGCATTTGCAATTGCTATTCCCTCTGCCTGAAATTTGATTCCCTTAATATCTACATGTTTCATTCTCACCTGCTGTACTAACTTCTATCACAAATAATCATTCTTTTTCAGTTAGTTTTATTAATTTTCTCTGTACGTCGTTAGATTGTGAGCACTGTCATCTTGGACTGAATTTTTATTTCTGCATCTTGTGATGCCTACCTTGTAATGTGTTACAGACTAGTAAGTACTGGATATGTATTTGATAATTATTAACTCCCAGAAACATAAACAATATTATTCTATAGCTCTACTGGGGGAAAAAAGGGGTGGATTAAGGGGAGAGAGGAATAGCCAAAGAGACAAGTCATCATCTTTCATAGCAGAAAATTGATATATAACATACAAAACAATAACTGTAACCTAACAGGACACACATATTATTTAGAGATATGGACACAAAGAATAGGAGAAAAATCAGGTTCTGGGGGAACATGTTGTGTCTGGGGAGCACCAAGAAGGGTAGGGGAAGGATGGAAAGGGATATAAAAACAGGAACACCAATCGTGTTATAAGCCTTATAGAATAACTTGAATTTTCAAACTGTCTTCTTATCTTTGATAAAAATAAGAGCAAAAAATAAAATAAAATTTAACAAAATATAGCTAGATTTGGATAAAATAACATAAAAATGGGAAGTGGTTAAAGTCAGATTACTAAGGCCTTTTTATTTGAGCATAGGAAGGTAGAGGTATTAATCAATTAGATTATATAAAGTTGTGTATTCATGTGAATAATTTAAGAGTAATTATAAAAAGGGAAGAAAGGAAGGAAGGAATAAATGAGGGAAGAAAAAAAAGAGAAAAGAAAAAAAAGAAGTGATTCATGACTCCCAAATCCAAAGAAAGGAAAAAGGAAATAGAAAAACCTCATTTATTCCAGACTGCAATCAGGAAAGAGAGAAAAAAGAGCCAAGTAAGGGCAAGCTAAACAAAACACACAAAATTAGATGATAAAATATATCCAAATATATGAATAATATCCATAAATTTAAATGGAGTAAAAGCACCAGTTAAAAGACAAAGATTTAGATTGAATTATAAAAATTCCACATTCAGTTAGGTTCTACTCACAAAGAACACATGAAGTTAAAACAAAATAA